CCTCAATATATATACACACACACACACACACATTTATATACAAACTAATCATTTTTTATTGTTATATTTATTTGTATTATATATATCAGTTTACATTTAATACAATAATTTTAGATATAATTATGCATACACATACATATATATATATATATATATATATATATATATACTGTATATATATAGAGAGAGAGAGAGAGAGAACAAATTTATTTATTATCCGTGTCCCTGCAGCACAAAAAACAGTCTTAAGTCGCTGGGGTATATTTGTAGCAATAGCCAACAATACATTGTATGGGTCAAAATTATAAATTTTTCTTTTATGCCAAAAATCATTAGGATTTAAGTAAAGATCATGTTCATGAAGATATTTTGTAAATGTCCTACCGTAAATATATCAAAACTTAATTTTTGATTAGTAATATGCATTGCTAAGAACTTCATTTGAACAACTTTAAAGATGATTTTCTCAATATTTAGATTTTTTTGCACCCTCAGATTCCAGATTTTCAAATAGTTGTATCTCGGCCAAATACTGTCCTATCCTAACAAACCATACATCAATGGAGAGCTTATTTATTCAGCCTTCAGATGATGCATACATCTCAATTTCACAAAATTGTACCTTATGACTGGTTTTGTGCTCCAGGGTCACATATATTAATAGAACCAATCATTTTTTATATTACAAGATTTATATTAGAAGAAAAAAGGAGAGCTAAATCTCCCTCAGCGAACGGTCTCTGTCCGTCTCTCTCTCAACTCACATTATCTGAAAACTGACAGCTCGAGCAGACAACAAACAGTTACCGAGCAAAACAAATCTGTCTGAGCGCAGATTCATCGCCTGTCTGATCCGATCGGTCCGATCAACATGTTTTGCTGTGATTAGACATCATAAAATTGATTTATATTTTAAATATTATACATGTGTATGTATATATATATATATATATATATATTTGAACGTGCATGAAGGGTCTATTAAGTATTATATCTCACATTTATAAAAGTATATGATATATGTTGAGTATTTCTGGCTCCTCTGTCTTCATCTCTGGGTTTCTGCTTCCATCTAGTGGCTGCAGCGGGAAACTCAGTCTGAAGACAGACTATTTATGAGATTACAAAGCTAATATTATCCAGATATGTCCGTTCATAAACACAGAACTCATGAAGAGCAATATCTCGGCCAGAATCATTCACGACTGCACAAGAATTTTACTACAAATCAATACAGATTTCATCAATAATCACCAGAACATCAAACACTTCAATTAATAAACATCATATTCATATCCAACTTTACCCGTACACATATACTCACATAAAGCCATAAATACGAACAATAAATCTCCAGATGTAAATCATCCTATCACCTAGCTCTAATAATAAGATCTTATAAAGATTAATATTATGGATTTCTGTAAAGCTGCTTTGAAATAATGTGTAACGTGAAATAAAACTTAACTTGAATTGAACAAAATATATCAAATATAGAAAAAAATACAAGATTCAAACACATGCGACTCAATTTATGCTTCTCAAGACTTCTTAAAAACTGAAATATTTAAGTTATTATATTAAATTAATATTACATATAAGGAGTTCTGCTCTTAGTTTCATTTTTATCTTGTAAAATAAACATTATTGGCTTTATATATAAATAAATGTGTAATATAAATAATATATAAATATGGTGTTTTAAACATTAATGTTATTTCTGTAAAACAACGTGTAACGTGAAATAAACCTGTTAGGAATTTTAAAAAGTTCCTGCTTAAATGACTGAAATTAGTTGTGCAGACATATATTCTTCATCTGAATCATACATACTATTATTATTCATGTAAAACAATGAGTAGAAACTTTTAACTGACATTTTATACCTATAATAAATCAGTCATTAGAAACACAAGAGAATCAGGAGAGATGTGGCGCCCCCTAGCGGTCCTGCAGTGAATCTACAGGCAGAAACTACAGAAACACTCCTGAAACCAGTGACTTACTGTGAACTGCTCCTGGGATTTGTAGTTCTTGTCGAGGTAGACACGAGCACGGCTGAAGTCCTTCAAGGCATCACTGGACAGTAGCTCTCTGACAAAACAACACCACAAAACACATGCATGACTTCTGCTGCTTGTAACATAGATCAGAGAGATCTTTATAACAGTGCAGCAGATACTGACATAAAATGATCTGAATATCAGCGGTTGCTCTATATCTGCAGTAATCTGTCTCAGTAAGATGAGAGTGAAATGCTCCAACCATATAATGCAGTGATTGAGAGCTGAAGAAATAAAGGCTCCTCAGAAGATGTGAGATGTTCTGGAGGCTTGTGAAGATCATTCCTCCGCTGAGGAACAGTGAAAGTAAAGCTTCTGGAAACAAACGCTCCTCAAAAGATCCTGAGGATCAGATTTGAGACTCTAAAACATCACTGATGGAGAATCAAGTAAAGCTGAGCTGCTTCAGTCCAGTAAGTGTTCATCTGGAGATATTACTGCAGTTATTCTGACCTTTACTTGATCAAAACCAGTCAGGATTTGACAGCAGAAACACACGAGAAGCGTTTCTACAATTACACTAAAAGAGCTTTGACTGCATAAAAAACTCTAAACTATCAATCAGACGACAGAAGACATGCAGGAGATCGAGTGTGAAACGGGTTTAACAGCCTTAGAAATGTGTGCATCATAGAGTTAAATTAATATGTGGTTATATGTGGTACATGACCAAAAAACCACGGTAATACCGATGTACTTTCTGTCATTCATTTCGCTTTTGTGCTGGATAAACAGTGCGGTTGAGCTGCTCAGGTGTGTGAGTAAATATTGGCTCTGGCCTTTAATAATGAGACGATATTTAAAACACACTCACACACACGCTAGCACACACTCACACACGCACGCACACACGCACACACACACACTCATACACACACACACACACACAGACTCTCACACACACACACACACACTCTCACACACACACACACACACACACACACACACACACACTCAC